TTTCTCACGGTGTATGTGTGTTTTTTGTGCCATTTTACAAATTTAATAAAACACTACTAAACATGTAAATGAAAGGTAAAACCTTTTATGTTGTTTTGGATAGAGTGGAGAGGGATTAGAACATCTGGCAGGTTTTGTATTGCTGCCTGCATTCCTGTTAGGAAGATTCATCCTCCCTATTTGTCCTGGTGACTGTTATCACTGAGAGTGAAAGTTGGGGTGCCCCTAGTACAGGGATGGAGGGGGAATCTTTCAATGGGAACATTGGTTCCAGAGATTCCCGTATTTGCGTTATGTCATATGTCACATGAAGTGAAGGGAAATCTCCTCAGTGAGACACAGATGGCAAAAAAACCTGACAGGTTGAATCTATCCAAAATGAAAAAAAGTTTTGCCTTGAGTTCTACGATAAGCAGAATAGTGTGCAAAAAGCACACATAATTATAAAAAATAGATGACGTCTGGGAAAATTGGGCTTGGCTTGAATTGTTTTACTTTTTTGGTGATGTTTATTACAACCTCAGTTTTCAAAGTATAAAAATGTCTGCTTACACCTCTGCACTACAGCAGACTAGTATGACCATCAGGCACTGTTTATGAATAATTAGGCTACATTCAGACAGCTGAAAAGGAGTGGCCAGGGGAGGCTGCTGGCAAAAATCAGTAGATTCTTTATAGCTCCCAACTGTCCCTAATTTAAAAGGACTGTCCCTGATTTGGAACAAAGTCCAGCTGTCCCTCTTTCCTCCTCATTTGTCCCTCATTTTGGCCTGATCTATAGAATTGTATATAAAATGCTCTTTTTATCTTTCAAACGATTCCCAGTGCTAAACCTTTCATCCAATTTCCAAATTGCCGCATTTGTAAATTTGAAAAGCCAATATAAAGGAATAGTAGTGGTAAAAAAAAGAACTTGTGGGTTAACTAACTATTTTGTTTTTAAATTCTCCTTTAAAGGTGAGTGGGAGGGTGTGTGTCCTATGCCTACATATCCCTTGTTCCATCTAAAATAAAGTTGGGAGGTATGGATTCTTTGTTGTATTTGCTGGCTGCATTCATTGTGTGCATCCACCAGCTGTCAGTTCTGTACTGCTACTGCGGTTTGCCTGTAATTGGTTACAATTGTGAACAAAGCCTCTGTCCAGCCAGTGTATGTCCAGGGTCGGTGTTTCTGCAAAGTTCTGGCCGAACACAAACCGGCTGCAGCTACACTATATTGCCAAAAGTATTGGGACGCCTGCCTTTACATGCACATTAACTTTAATGGCATCCCAGTCTTAGTCCGTAGGGTTCAATATTGAGTTGGTCCTCCCTTTGCAGCTATAACAGCTTCAACTCTTCTGGGAAGGCTGTCCACAAGGTTTAGGAGTGTGTCTATGGGAATGTTTGATCATTCTTCCAGAAGAGCATTTGTGAGGTCAGGCACTGATGTCCGACAAGAAGGCCTGGCTCGCAGTCTCCACTCTAATTCATCCCAAAGATGTTCTGTCAGGTTGAGGTCAGGACTCTGTGCAGGCCAGTCAAGTTCCTCCACCCCAAACTTGCTCATCCATGTGTTTATGGACCTTGCTTTGTGCTCTGGTGTGCAGTTATGTTGGAACAGGAAGGGGCCATCCTCAGACTAATCCCACAAAGTTGGGAGCATGAAATTGTGTTGGTATTCTGACGTCTTAAAGGCTTGTTCACACTTGACTAATTTCTAATCTTGCCAAACGCCCAATAGCATTTAACAGGCATTTGGGAAGCGTTTTAAATGCTCCCCAAATGGCCTATGCATATTTTTGAGGCATTTGATAGGCGTTTGCCAAGCGTTAAAACCGCACCACAAATGCCTATAATGAAGTTTTATGGTATTAACGCTCTGCAAACACCTGCCAGGTGTTTGAGTGTCACCATAGACTTGAATGGGAGGCTTCAACTCCTCCTGACTAGATATGAGGCATCAATTTTGGCGTGACACTAATGCTTCAGTGTGAACACCACTGTGTGCTGCCATGTGTAGAATTTTCATAGGCATTTGAGGAGTGTTAAAAACACTTCCCAAACACCTAACGCTTGCTAACAAAACTAGTGTGGACTTAGCCTAAGAGTTCCCTTCACTGGAATTAAGGGGCCAAGCCCAACTCCTGAAAAACCACACCATATTCCCCCCTCCACCAAACTTTACACTTGGCACAATACAGGCAAGTACCATTCTCTTGGAAACCTCAAAACCCAGACACATCCATCGGATTGCCAGACAGATAAGTGTGATTCCTCACTCCAGAGAACATGTCTCCACTGCTCTAGAGTCCAGTGGTGGCGTGCTTTACACCACTGCATCTGATGCTTTGCATTACACTTGGTGATGTAAGGCTTGGATGCAGCTGCTCAGCCACAGAAACCCATTCCATGAAACTCTCTATGTACTGTTGTGCTAATCTGAAGGCCACATGAAGTTTGGAGGGCTTTAACTATTGACTCTGCAGACAGTTGGTGACTTCTGCGCACTGTGCACTTCAGCAGGCGCTGACCCTGCTCTGTCATTTTATGTGGCCTACTACTGCATGGCTGAGTCCTGTTGTTCCCAGTTGCCTCCACTTTGTTATAATACCACTAACAGTTCACCGTGGAATGTTTAGTAGAAAGGAAACTTCCCGGATGTACCTATTGCACAGATGGCAACCTATCCCGGTACCACGCTTGAATTCACTGAGCTCCTGAGAGCGACCCATTCTTTCACAAATGTTTGTAGAAGCAGTCTGCATGCCTAGGTGCTTGATTTTATACACCTGTGGCCATGGAGGTGATTGGAACACCTGAATCCAATGATTTGGAGGGCTGGCCCAATACTTTTGGCAATATAGTGTATGTTCCCTCTCACATAGGTGTACTACAGTGTACACCTGTGTGAGAGCTGTGTTTGCCAGCACAGATGTTTCCATTCATGTCCATTGGGATGCTGTGGCTACATGGACGCAGTGTCTGCTCCCTATTTTACATTCGTTTAGGTGTGGGTGCATGGCCCTGTATACAGTGTGCGTTCGGGGTTGGGCACCTACATCAAATTGGGAGCAGCAGCTGACTGTGCAGCTGCCGCGTCCCAATTGACATCAATGTGAATGCCTGCTAGGAAACCCGGCCCTCACACAGGTGTACGCTTTAATGCACCCACTTGCATGAGGACTGATGAGGCAGTTTGTATACGGTCATAGCAGTGTTGCTGCGTCTATAGGTGCCGTTTTGCAGCCTCTGAACACAGGAAACTAGCCGCTGCCATTTGGCCACAGAATGTAACTGTAGACCCCAGTGACCATACGCTGATAATTTTCTATATGATAAAGGGCACTTATCCATGTTTATTTATGATCAAAGGAACCCTATTTTTAATACACAGCGAACACAGCTCCTCCCACAAGGGGAACGCATTCACCTCAAAAAGCTGGGATTTTCCAACTTCTTTGCAACTAAAAGTACCAGAAAAGCCTCCTATCTCAGGCAAAAGGCATGCCTTCAGAGTTACTAGCATTAACCAATGTCCTTTCATAAACCAGGCCCAGCTACCAGGCCCAGCTTCCCTTCAATGCCTCGCTCAGGCCTCAGCACAGTGTAAAAGAATAAAACCCATCACTATCAACACTGCAGGAAGTGTGAGATAATATCTCCTCTGTGCGCTGATTGGCAGACCCGTCCTGATTGTCCGGGGGACGGATGCTGCTAGGGGCTTCTGGGAGTTGCAGTTCACTCCCCCTTTCAATGTCCGCCCAGCCTGCCAGACAGAACTACGTTTCCCAGAAGGCTGTGACCTGTGCCTAGCGTAGGGATAGAAGGTCAGCCAATGAGCGAGGACGGATTTTCATATGACAACGCCCACTGAGACCAGACGAGTCCTTGATTACAATAAGGTACAGTATAGACGGTAGGTTTTATTTGTGGGTACAGAGGAGCGGGCTGATATGGAGGGAGATGGCTGTGTGCTGCCTGGAAGGACATGGGAAGCTGCCTGCACACAGCCCAATAGACAATGCACTGCACACAATGGATGGCTGCAGCAGAGTAGAAGTTACAGACCTTCCAGGCAAAGTACAATGGAATGTTGATAGATGATTACCTCCAATAGATCCGAATATACTTTACCTATCTGGATATTATATGTTGTACAATCTGTGATGTCTCTGCCTTCCACAAAGTATGGGATGGGATACAGAATACCGTGCCATAATCATCCTATTTGTATATCTGGTTATTTATGTTATTTCTATGTATATGGAATACAGAATACTTTGCTATGATCCATTATTTTATTGTATGGTAAAGTATTCTGTGATGATCCCTGCTTTCCAATATAAAAATACATACACACATACACTATATTGCCAAAAGTATTGGGACGCCTTCCTTTACACGCACATGAACTTTAATGGCATCCCAGTCTTAGGCCGTAGGATTTAATATTGAGTTGGCCCACCCTTTGCAGATATAACGGCTTCAACCCTTCTGGGAAGGCTGTCCACAAGGTTCAGGAGTGTGTCTATGGAAACGCATTTGTGAGGTCAGGCACTGATGTTGGACGAGAAGGCCTGGCTCACAGTCTCCACTCTAATTCATCCCAAAGGTGTTCTATTGGGTTGAGGGCAGGACTCTGTGCAGGCCAGTCAAGTTCCTCCACCCCAAACTAGGTCATCCATGTCTTTATGGACCTTGCTTTGTGCACTGGTGAGCAGTCATGTTGGAACAGGAAGGGGTCATCCCCAAACTGTTCCCACAAAGTTGGGAGCATGAAATTGTCCACAATTTCTCGGTAATCTGACACTTTAAGAGTTCCCTTCACTGGAACTAAGGGGCCAAACCCAACCACTGTAAAACAACCCCATAGCACAATCCCCCCTCCACCAAACTTTACACTTGGCATAATGCAGTCAGTCACTCCAGAGAACACGTCTCCACTGCTCTAGAGTGCAGTGACGACATGCTTTACACTACTGCATCCGATGCTTTGCATTGCACTTGGTGATGTAAGGCTTGGATGCAGCTGCTCGGCCATGGAAACCCATTTCATGAAGCTCTCTATGCACTGTTGTGCTAATCTGAAGGTCACATGAAGTTTGGAGGTCTTTAGCTATTCACTCTGCAGACAGTTGGCGACTTCTGTGCACTGTGCGCTTCAGCACACACTGCCCCCGCTCTCTCATTTTAAAGTTCCTACCACTACTTGGCTGAGTTGCTGTTGTTCCCAGTTGCTTCCACTTTGTTATAATACCATTAACAGTTGACCGTGGAATGTTTAGCAGCAAGGAAATTTCATGGATGGACTTATTACACAGGTGGCAACCTATCATCACGGTACATCACTTGAATTTACTGAGCTCCTGAGAGTGACTCATTCTTTCACAAATGTTTGTAGAAGCAGTCTGCATGCCTAGGTGCTTGATTTTATACACCTGTGGCCATGGAGGTGATTGGAACACCTGAATCCAATGACTTGGATGGGTGTCCCAATACTTTCGGTAATATAGTGTATATAGGGAATACAGAATACTTTGCAATAATTATCATATGGCTATATCTGGATATTTGAATGGTATTTGTGATGATCCCTCCTGAGAAAGTATAGAATACATAATTTGCCATAATTATATTTTTTATACCTGGATATTTATATGATACAATGTCAGTGATGCTTGCTGCTTTCCATTATACATACTTGGAAATACCGGCAACCTTTAGTATGATCTGTAATACTTAATCGGGCCATACCTGTATAATCTCCATAGAGTGACCAAACAGATGTAATGGGAGGACACATTGAAACAATCCATCCAGATTGTATCAAAAAATGTTTGCTTACCTATATGCTAGTGGCTGTTGTCACCTTCAAAGTATACCCCTTGTGAAGCAAAGCATTTTTTTTTAGAACTGTGCCACTGGTGGAAATATTCCTGGAATTAGTTTTCCATTAGAATCTGCTGCACTATTGTCCTGGTCATGTTCAATTCTTCTGCCATCATTCACACGCTCCACCTTCCATCTGAGCATACGACAGTTCACACTCTGTCCACATTTGCGTCCATCCTTTGCATTTTTGGCTGCCCACTTCTTGCATTACGGTGGACGTCTTCCCTCCCCTGTTTAAACTGCTTATGCCATGCAAAAACTTGATTTCTTCATGGAATGCCCACCATAAGCCTGTTGTAGCAGAGTTAAAGTGTCACTTGCACTTTTGCCAGTTTTCCTGCAAAATTTGATGTTAATCCACTCCTTCAGATTCCCGTCACTGATTTTACACCAATAGCGCAACACACGCATGTTATTTCTTCTACTACCCTGCAAAGACTGCTATGAAGTAGTGAGCTGCATGTCTCATCATACATGCAATCTGTACACTGTCATCTGTTGGGCTCCCAAGCAAATGCCAAGAACGAAGGGATGCAGCTCCAAAAGCTTTATTTCTTGATTTTAATACATTTTATAAAGCAAATAGATTAGGTGAGAACATGGAACAACAGTTTTAGGGAAATTTGAGAAAGATGTAAGGATGCCCCAAACTGGTGTTCTGTGTTTTTAAATGTGGAATGAAATCTTAGTTGTTGCCGAGTATTTCCCAAGCATGACAGCTAGCCCCAGATATCTGACTTTAACTAAACTTAAAAATGGTAATACCCAATGGCAATAGCAACATTTAATTATGACAGGTGTACCTGCCCTTCCATTGAGTAGTTTTTGTTGGACAATTCTCCAGAATGTTAGAGTGAAAATGACACCAGGCAGAATAGGTCTGCCCTGTAAAGGCAGTGTCTCACTTAGAACCTCCATTATTCAGCTGTATCAAGTGCTAAGCTATGCAGATTCAAGGCTTCCAGCATTGGGTAATGCTGCTGTGTTTTCTTTGGGGTCATAGCCCACCTTCAGAAACTTGTCTGTGTTCAGCTTGGGCTTTGAAGGAAGTTTCAGATGGAGTGAATAAAGGCAAACTTCTCTGGGCAGCAATAGTCATGTAGCTGCTTTGTTGGCATGTTAAGATCGAATCTATACATCTCTGTAAGGCATGCACATTTCCTACTGTTTTAGCACTTAAAAAGTGCTGCAAAACAGCCCCTGTGTGGGCGAGTGTTATTGCCTCTGTTTTATAATGTTTAACCAGCTGCCGACCGCAGATAGCCGAATGACGGCTTCACTGCGGCCGGCCAGTTCTGGGTGGACGTCATTATGACGTCCTCCCAGAACGAGCTCTCCTGCGTGCCCCAGGGGGCGCGCATCCGGCGATCTCTTACCTACGGACACAGCTGATCACGTGATGTGGTAAAAGGCCAATCACAGCGGCCTTTTACCACGTGATCAGCGGTGTCCAATGACACGCTGATCAGAGGGAAATGCAAGTGCCGGTTCTCGGCTGCACTTTCCTCACGCTGTCAGATCGTGAGGAAAGTACTGCCGAGAACCGGCAGTTGTCAGAGCGAGCGGGATCGGCACCGATCATCAGGGCACTGATGATCAGTGCCCAGCAGTGCCACCCGCAAGTTCCGCCCAGCAGTGCGCCCACTAGCTGTGCCCAGCAGTGCACCCACCTGTGCCACAGTGCACCCACCTGCCACTCTGCAGTGCCACCCACCTGTGCCCAGAAGTGCCACCTACATGTGCCCAGCAGTGCCACCCACCTGTGCCCACCCACCTGTGCCCACCAGTGCCACCCACCTGTGCCCACCCACCAGTGCTGCCCACCAGTGCCACCCACCAGTGCAGCCCAGCAGTGCTGCCAGTCAGTGCCACCAGTCAGTGCCCAGGGGTTGTGCCAGTCAGTGCCCAGCAGTGATGCCAGTCAGTGCCGTCTATCAGTACCGATCATCAGTGTCACCTATCAGTGCTGCATATCAGTGCCGCCTATCCGTGCCACCTCATTAGTACTGCCTATCAGTGCCCTTTAGTGCTGCCTATCAGTGCCGCCTATCAGTGCCCATCAGTGCTGCCTCATCAACGCACATCAGTGAAGGAGAAAAAATACCTGTTTGAAAAATTTTATAAAAGAAACAAACTTTTTTTTTTTTTCAAATTTTTTGCACTTTTTTTATTTATAGCGCAAAAAGTAAAGTGCCCAGTGGCGATTAAATACCACCAAAAGAAAGCTCTGTTTGTGAGAAAAAAATGATCAAAATTTCATATGGGTACAATGTTGCATGACCGCGCAATTGTCAATCAAAGTGCGGCAGCGCTGAATGCTGAAAATTGGCCTGGTAAAGAAGGGGGTATAAGTGCCTGGTAGGCAAGTGGTTAAAAATTTAATAAAAACCATTGGAATATAAAAAGTGCTGCAAAACAATGCCTCTTGGGCTGCCGAACTCTCTGACAACACAGTCCCTCTGCTGTACAGCATTTCCAAGCAGCATTATCAGCCCCACGTTCATATTCTATTCCATTGCTGGGTTACAATACTCTGACTCTTACCATCCATCTCTGTCCTTTCCTACATGCACACATTGAATTATTTTCCAATAACATATTGATGCAGCTTTGATGCCAAAGAGCCTGCCCGCACACTAAAGGAAATTCAGCAAAGTACTAACATCAGTTTTCTGACAGTAGGGCCCTCTAAAATGTGCAATCAAACCAGGGAAAGCACCTGAGAAAAGAGGTATCACAATAGAGGCATGTAGTTTGACTAAAAAAATGAAACTTTATTGAAACAATATGCAAATAAAAACATATGTACAGATAAATAGTAAATGCAATACCACAATTGAGGCAAGTAGTTTGACTATAAAAATGAAACTTTATTGAAACAATGTGCAAGTAAAAACATATATATGAATAAATAGTAAATGCAAAGTAGCAAATGCTAATTTCTGCAGGGTAGAGGTTTCTGCAAAATTAGCATTTGCTACTTTGCATTTTTTTAGCCAAACTATTGTGGTATCTCAGGTTCTTTCCCTGGTTTGTTTGCAGCTTCTATTTTGGTACCTGATCCACGCTATAATTCATAGAATTAGTGAACTTTACATTTAAGCCCTTAAGGGTCCTGCTGCTACCAGCAGTGCCATATTGTAGTAATTTGGCCCTTTAAAATGACCTGTGCCAGCTTAAAAATTCCCTACCCCTGTTTCAGTAACTTTGCCAACATATATGCAGATTCAGGTAGTGGCACTTTCAAAGCACCGAAATTAAAAATAATTACCTAATAATAATTAGATTAATAATAATAAATAATAATAATAATAATAATTACCTAGTTTGTAGATAACTAAACTGCAGGTAAATTAAAACCTATTCTAACTTGGTGTACAGAGACAGGCAGAATGCCCCTCCCTGTATGCAGTGTAGCAGAGTGGCATATTTGCCACCGCTACCCTCTCTGTGTCACTGGATGTTAGTGGTTCTAAAGGCTTTTTTACCTTCATGCATTCTAGCAGCTCCCTTTTCACCCCACCCCCATTATACTCACCTGAGCCCAATCCTAACCCAAGAGCAGAAACTCTCCTGGGTCTTTCCCACATCATTGGCTGAGGCACAGCAACAGGAGCCAATGGCTGTCAGTCACAGCCAGTAAGGAGGGAGCGGGGCTGATCCCTGCACTGTGTGTCACTCAGTAGGGGGGAAGGACTTGGAGCACTGGTGGGGAACCTGAAGAGTGGAGGAAACCATTGCACAGAGCAGGTAAGTATGACATGTTTGTTATTTAAAAACACAATCTGAATCTTTGGAATCACTTTAACCTCTTCACGCCGACAGTATGCAAATATGCGGCATCTCGGTGGCTGGGCTTTGATGCCGAGCAGTTGCCTATTTGTGTACCATTTGTAAACCAACATATGCTGAGAGCGTGCGCCCTTTATGCTCTCAGCACATGTGTCGGCATCCCACAGAAAAGTCCTGATCTCTCCTTGCAATCGGGACCTTTTCGATCATGTGACTGCTGTGACAGCCAATCACGGTGGTCACATGACCCTAAACCCCGCTCCGCCTCTCGGCATCAGAAAGAACCGGAGGGCGCCAGCGTGCAGGGGTTAAGGATGTTGTTGGCTTCACATTCAACAGCCTCCTTGCAACCAGTGATGCTGTATGATGGGGAAGCTGAGACATTAGTTCCTCAACAGTTATGGTCTTGCCTTAAAATTGACAGCAGGCAGTGAGTGGGTTAGATAGCCAATAGCAGACTGTCTGCTCACTAGGAATCTGCCCAGTGCCTACTGTTAAAGCACAAGGGGAGCGGACCTGATGGGGAACTAGTGTCTGTGAATCCCATAAGGCGCCATACCCCACCCCCCTGATACAAAACTCCCCAACACCGTTCTGTAGGTGCAGCAGTGGTGAGGAAGCACAGTTGCACCAAGGGAAGAATGTCCGTATGGACACACCAGTCTCAGTGCGCCTCCACGTGCCCCAGATTCACGTACCTGTCTACAACAATATTACGTGGAGGCATGTC